GTTGTTTTAAAGCATTCTAACACACACATTCTTAGCTTATAGTTCATTCTGATACTCATAGCTATAGGCATACAATGGCACTTCTCCCTCGTTTCACAGTTTACTTATCATAAGTTTTGTTTACAGCCTGACAGATAACTGAAAACCATGTGAGAAACACCTGATTTGAAATCAGCTGCACGATGACACTATAGTAGAAGAGGAGTTCACCACATGTATGCACAGAATGAATGAAGGTGCACTAGTACTGTACTGCACTTTGTATAAAGAAATACAAAAAGTACCTCATGTGACTTATGAGACCTTTCAGAACTGTGCATGTATTTATCTGTTCCTCCAGACTGTAATGAGCTGAAGATATCATTATATGGTTTAGAACATTGAACTTTTGTATGTCGTTTCCACGGGCTGCTTCATTTTGTTCAGTTTATAGTATACGCATTACCTTGGACTATATATGCATGCCCTTAAGCATAATCAAAATATCAAGATATTTAATTTAGATATGTTATAAAACTTGCCGAAACTTCTGTGCGGTGCTCTGGTGCAATTCCTATGACCGGTATCTGTCCCATCAAAAACTTGGGCATGCTTTTATTGCAATATAGGGTATTTTGACTATTGATGACATTCAAAAGCCTTCTATACAGTGCTTGGCTGCAATCTTAAAACAAATCTCTGTCTCATCAAGAAGTGTCAGACGCACTTTGTAGATGTTAAAGGATATTTAAACAAGCAGCAGAGTGCAAAAACCTTCAACACAGAACTGATATGCAATCACAATCCTGCTTAGAAGCCATTGGTAGTGCTCTCTAACACGTTCAAATAAAGTTATCAAACACTGGAATGATCTACTTGGTTTGGTTCGTGATACCAGTGTGTCTGACTTTTTGGAGGCACTTGTCTCAAAACTATATTCTATTTCTCTCATTTTTTACCGGGCTGTACTCAGGAGGTAGAGGTATTTGTTTACGCTGGCACAATTATTGTGATATTCCTGTGTAAATACTTTCTTTTTGTATATATGTACACAACTCCTGCAGTAGCCTCACTTTGCGCTGCCGCGGTTGAAAATAAATAAACGTACCATCAGAAAGTGTTCCACGCTGTGCTCGGTTCTAATTTGATCACTAATATCTGTTGCATCATGAAGTGTCGGGTGTGTTTTAATGCATTAGAGAACATTTTGGCTGCCTTCCATACAGGGTTCAGTTTCAGTATTGTGATTGATATCTGTCTCTTCATGAAGAGTTGGTTGCGGTTTGTCATTTTAGAGAATACTTTAACTGCAGTCAACGTCCAGAAGACTTCCATACAGGGTTCAGTTCCAATATTATGACCGATACTGTGACATTATGAACAGTTGAGTGTGGTTTGTCGCTTTAGAGAATACTTTGAGTGAAGACAACGTCCAGAAGTATTCCATACAGGGTTCGTTTCCAATATTAGGACCGATATCTGTGACTTCATGAAAAGCTGAGTGCGGTTTGTCGTTTGGAAAATACTTTGACTAAAGACAATGTCCAGAATTCTTCCTTACAGGGTTAAGTTCCAATATTATGACCGATATCTGCGATTTCATTAACAGTTAGGTGTGGTTTGTCTCTTTAGAGAACACTTTGAGTAAAGACAACATCGAGAAGTCTTCCATACAGGGTCATTTCCAATATTATGACCGGTATTTGAGGCTTCATGAACAGTAGGGTGTGGTTTGTCACTTTAGAAAATACTTTCAGTAGAGACAACGTCCAGAAGTATTCTATATAAGGTTCAGTTGCAATATTATGACCGATATCTTTAACTTCATGAACAGTTGAGCATGGTATGTCACTTAAGAGAATACTTCGAGTAAAAACAACGTCCAGACGTCTTCCATACAGGATTCAGTTCCAATATCGTGACCGATATCTGCGACTTCATGAATGGTTTAGTGTGGTTTGTCGCTGTAAAGAATACTTTGAGTAAATACAACGTCCAGAAGTATTCCATACAGGGTTAATTCCAATATTATGACTGATAACTGTGACTTCATGAACAGTTGGGTGTGGTTTGTCGCTTTAGAGAGTACTTTGACTGAAGACAACGTTCAGAAGTCTTCCATACAGGGTTCAATTCCAATTGTATGCCCGATATCTGTGACTTCATGAAGAGTGAAGTGCGTTTTCTCACTTTAGAGAATACTTTGACTAAATACAACGTATAGAAGTCTTCCATACAGGGTTCAGTTCCTATATTATGACTGCTGTCTGTGACTTCCGAATATTGGATGCGGCTTGTTGCTTTAGAGAATACTTTCACTAAAAAACGTCCAGAGGTCTTCCATACAGCGTTCAGTTCCAATATTATGACCGATGTCTGTGACTTCATGAACAGTTGGGTGTGGTTTATCGCTTCAGAAAATACTTTGAGTAAAGACAACGTCCAGAAGTACTCTATACAAGGTTCAATTGCAATAATATGACCGATATCTGTCACCTCAAGAAGTGTCAGGCACATTTAGTTCCATTAGAGCACATTCAGACTATGGAAAATGCCCAAAGGCATTCTACATAGTAATCGGTTCCTGTCTTATGACCAATATATATTGTATCAATAAGAACCAAGTGTGCTTTGTTGCATTAGACGATATGTTTTACACAAACACCAGCCGAAAACCTCCTACTCTGGCCTAAATTGTACACTTATGACTCAAATCTGTCAGCTCATGAAGCTTCAGGCGTGATTATTAAGTTGAGTGCTATAAATGATGTAGTGCAAATGTACTGAAGGTGCCAGCAAATTCAAGATATTGTTAATAAATTTGGTAGTGCAGTTATAAAAACCCAGTGGTTTGTATACCTGATTAGGAGGGCAGCTGCCGCCTCATTCATCGAAGAGATGAGGAGCGGGCTCAATCTCAACTTCATATATTAACATAATAGGGAGGGGGCGATAAGTCAGCTCCTACATGGACCTAATAAGAAGGGGGAGGGGGCACTGCGATAAATTTTTGCCCCTTCCCCTTAATGAGAACTCTGCACACGCCTATGATAGACGTACAGTATCCTAGCCGCAAATGTGCATTCACGGGAGCGGCACACGCACCAATGTTGATTACTGGTGCATACACTTTAGTTACTTTGGGCACTGGAATGTCAATTGCTTTTAAAATATTCTAAACTGTTATGAGTGAAGCACTATCAGTTTTTAACGTGCTCTCACATCCTCTAAAACATACAAACCCGCTCCAGTTAGGAACGTGCCGCTCTGTGCTGAGCTTGGACAGTTCTAAGCCAAAAGATCAAGCAACAATGTGCATCGGCCTTAGACGCGTTGGCGTCAACGTGGTTGACGCGTACCAGGGGTTGCGTGCTTTTTTTTCTCCACAGGCACGACTAGACGGTATTGACGCGTAGGTGCGTGCATACGCGTACCAGTGGTTGGCACTTTAGCGTTGCCAGGCCAGGCGCTGGTCCTGCCATATACTCGCAGGCGCACGCCACGCTGCGTTGCTTTGATACTGCGAGTTTCAGCGCCTCCTGTATTTCCACATCATGAAAAGAGGGAGACGCAGTGTTGTCTTGGTAACGCATCGGCGCGCAAGGCAGCATGTCGCATTTTGAGTCGGTTGCCGTCGGGCCGCGCCGACGGACTCTGGTCGCATCTGGCGTCAGACCATAGAGTGCTCGCGCATTTGCTTACGTAGCGTCGCTCTGCCCAGCATGCACGTGCGTCAACGCTATATTGAAGTATACACCTTTTCACAGGAAGGAAAGAAACACCACCATTATGGGCTGTGCCCGGGAGTACAAACACTAAGGGCGCAGCGTTGTCAGTGCATTTTCGAGGGGACGCGCCGATTTGCACAGCCCAAGGAGGGCTATGGCGGCACCCAGGGAGGCGTTTATGATAAGGTGAATATGGGGCCCTTCATGAGACGCCCACGGCCATTTTGTTAGCTCCACATATACCAAAGTTGCTGACGTCAATGATTGACGAAATATATGACTTGTGCAAACATGGTAATCCTGACACGCTTGTCATGTAAAAACATGATAACATACGACGCTTATAGCGTGCTCGCACCCGTTTCGCTAGCTCCACATATACTTTTGGTATCACGTGACGTGAATAGATGACGAAGGTAAACGACACATACAAACATGATAATCATGACACAGAACTCATGTACGGTATCATTTACCTCTACTTGATACTGTTGTGCTTATTTTAATGTGACATGTCAAAATTTCTCATTTGTACTGCGCATATTATTGAATCGCACTGTAGGAAGGATCTGCCAAACTTTTTCATTCATTCACACTTGTTACGAAATATGTCTTGATAAAGACTACAATATTAAGAGCCAGTGTTACAAAAAGGTTACCATCTTTATTTGTGCTTCATTCACTGAAAAAATATAAAAGCATTGACAGCCTAGTCCTTAGAAGCCTCACTAACCCATAAAAGTAGAACTCCCAAAAGCGAACATTGAGTGAACATTTTCAAACTTTGCCTAAACGTATCTAAAACTATGCTTTCCTCGTACTTTCATCACCTAAAGAACGACGAAGCTAAAGTTCTGCTTTTCAGTGGGGGCCATATTAATTTATTGTGATTTAAAAAAATGAATCAAGTTATTTTAATTGCACATCAACAATCATTGATCTGATCCCTTGAGGGCTGCAGAGAGAGTGCTTGGCATTAAAAGGTTCCAGTGCAATGTTACGTATAAAAGTATTGCGCTCTTTGTCATCGCGCGTATGAAGATCAAAACTGTTAATCTTTGTAAATAGAGTATAAATGTAAAAGATTAATTCCACTATATTTCTTTAAAGTTTACTCAAGAAGCAGCCAGGGGAAAGTTTTGGGGCACATATGTGAAACCTGCTTTGAAGCAAAAGGCAAGGTACCAATGATCTCTATTTGATTCAATTATCACCGTGTGCCTACATGTTCGGGTAAGTGTGGTCATAGGTGTGAAAACGGTTGCCTTAGCTTTCTATACAGAACACACGTACCTGGGAAAACAGGCGGTGGTCGTACGAGTTGTCGTCGTCGGCGAAGTATAGGACAGAAGGCAACAGGGCGTTGTCTCGCAACCACTCTATTGCTCTCAACCGAGGAGCAACGCCTTTGCCATACTTTCGTCGGCGATATTGCGGAGGAGTTCGACCGGACAGCTGGACGCCAGGCAGTCTTGAGCGGCGCATAATGTTTCGCACCTGCAGCACGTTCCCCCGTTAATATTCATGAATCCAGTTCACTCTTTTTTAGTGTACATGACAATGCTACGTCTGGGGAAATCACCAGTTCAGTGTAAAGCACAATTTGGATGATCTCTTCGACTATGCCTCAAAATATTCCACCATATTTGCTGCGGTAACGAATGTGCTGAAAGCATCGATCAATTGGCTAAAGGCACATTGAGAACATTTTTTAAACAAGTTATATAACCACATAAGAGTGATCAGAGGAAGAAGTTACAAAGTTTTTGTCGATTCCTTGAGTTATGGGTCAGATGAAGATGCATACGAATACTTGTCGCAATTCGCTGTGTCTTAGCAAACAGTCGAAAAAACGAAGATAATTTCGAGGGTTCATTTTTGCATCATCGGTCACCAGCTAATAATGAATCTACGAAATGCGTAGACACATAACAAAAATCGAGACACAGCAATCGTCGATGGTATGAGTACCGAAGGATGGTGGTTCAGACTATTCCGCCATGTTGTCTCTCTGTTCACTTTGTTTCCTTGACGCTTATAAACCAATGTATCTTTAATACCAATACATAAAACATCCTCCATATCATCGTTGCCTTCCTCATAGGGTTTTTTTTATGAAGCACCAAATAACCCATTGATATATGTCAGCACAAAAAACATGGCTATATTAACACCTTTCATACATAGAGAAGCTAGAATGTACAAACGACTTTCGACATGTTCTGACTCCTTGCATCAGACGCATGGTATCGTGAAAATCCACTAGAACGTCGGTAAGCAGTTTGGTGGTGTGTTTTCAAACTGACACTGCATGGTGACCGCGAGGTGGAAGCAAGCGGTGAGTGTGTCGGCTTTCGTCATCCTAATATACGGGCATGGCTTAGAATAAATTGTAATGTTAGAATCATATGCCAATAAATCACTATTTAGGAATCACTAAGAAGGTTCTCAAGCGCCGAAAGTAGTGGTTACCTGAGGTTATGACGCCGACACGCGCATCAAGCGCGATCGCAACTCTGGCCGATCTCACGTTCGGCCACAGCCGTAGGTATGCGGTCGCTTGTGGTTTGACAACAACCTCACCACCATCGTCTCTATTCGCGGCAACCCGTTCATGCCAGTGCTACCACCATGCTACGAGTTTCTAAGTCACTGCCACATCATCGGCACCGACAACCGCGTACAGTGAGTACCGCGTTTTCTTCACGTGCAAATATATTTGAGAGCAGGGAAGGTTCTGACCATGAATGTAACCCATGGGTACCACTACCCTCTCCGGCAAGACCACTTGCCCGTGCTCAACCCACTCAAGACCGCCTGATAGTTCTACCACTACCCACGTAGACATCATGGCGGTCGATGACTGCTGAAGTCTCGCACATGATGTCCTGTCATGGTATTTCGTGCAGCTCGTCTGACCACCATCAGACGGGTGTTACGAAGGCGAGACGCCAACACGGTCCCGAAGGCGCCACTGCTTCGACCTACGCCGCCTACGGTCACCAGCCGTTTGGTAGCCTGTGTCACTCAGCTCGCGACTGCTTCTGCGCAGAGCTGATAGACGAGCGGACGAGACGACGGTGAGTTAAGGCAAGGTTTATGTATAGCATTGAAAACGAGGCATTACGAATTCGGCACTGGGGCCGACAGCTTAGGAGCTCGAAGAGCCAAGATGTCTCCTCGCGCACGTATACGTCGGCTTCTCTCTCTGTTACGAAGCGCACCGCCGACGACGTTACAAAGGGTGCCACGAAACTCACCGCTGCCAAGGACACCGGGCACGCCGACTACGAAAGAGCTTCAACTCAACGAGAGGCTTCTCAAACACATAGGTCTACTGCTGGCGACGCACCGCAGGGCTTTTTTGTAGGCACAGGGTGGACCCTTTGAGTCACCAAACGTCCAACCAGAAGCGCCGCTGGCCGTGATGTCAGAACCCTCCAATGGGACCTACCGCTAGGCCACGTCATGCTCATCAAATCCGGAGCCGCTGCGCGTTATTGCAGCCAAGGACGAGTAACGTCCCCACGCATTGCATAAAGACTCGTCAGACTGGAAGGCGCTGATTGCTTCATCGGGCTCGTGGGCTGAGAGAGCTTGCTGTGCGTTGCGTGACAGACCGGCGCCGCCGCTTCATGAAGTCGTTGAGTTGATAGCGTCAGGCGTGCTTGAGCGCTGGCTTTGACATGGATTGCCTTTTCAGAGGCATTGACGTTCAGTGTGGACTCCCAGGCGTAACAGGGGCCTCTATTGAAATTGTATTCTCAAACGTTTTACTACGACTTTTCATCCACGGTCCTTTCAATACTTCCTTCAACAATCACAAAATTCCAATCTTAAAAAACCGTCCGGGAACTTTGTAATGAGTAATGTTACCCGTGTATTTAATTTCATCCCTATGTAAATGACTACATCTTTCGTATATATACGTGCATATAGATCTATCAATAAATAATAATAAACACCGTGTGTATAGCTGTGTATACAACCACCCCTTTGACAGCGTGTTCATTGTTTGTATGGTGTATGGGTGAATTTGTCACGGCTTTACCAATAACCATTAGAGCTTCGCTGAACACAACAGTCACTTCGTGAAGGTGGTGAAGTTTATTTTTACGCTGACCGTAATGAGAAGTTTGCACTTGCCATTTGTTTTTGCTTTTTGTGACCATGGTTTCTTCGGCTGTTTAGCTTAGGTACAAGCTACCAACTAGCCCAGACAGCTACTTTGTTAAGGCAACAATGGAGGCAAAAAGTTTCGCTTTCACCCTCCTTGATCCCTTTAATAATCAACTGCAATCCTTTATAGCATTGTGGCCGTCGGGGGGAGACCGGTGACCTTGCCAGGCGTGTTTTTTTTCTCGTGATAATGGCAAGGTCCCTCAGAATCCTACAGTACCATAAGTGTCGTTACACCAGTGGTATTCTTTGATCGGATGCTACAGCTCACCAACCATGACATTAAGCTTGCCTCATGCACACCTCTTGTCACATAGATTTCAAAATATCTTACCACAATCTTGCTCCCTTTCACAGGTTTCACTATAATCATAACTACATCTAATGAGCCCCTCAAATCTATAGGACTTACTTTTGACTGTTTTCGACGCCTTGATCCACCATCTAACTGGGAAAACAGGACTAAAAAGTCAGAAACATTATGTCACACTTCAATAGCACTCTTTTCACAGCCATTCGCCTCACTTATAGTTCTTTTTTTTTTCAGGATGCATACGAGCACCCAGCCGACTTACAGTCGAACAACGTGAAATGATTCATCTTCCTGAACTCGGAGAAAAATGTTTTTTTGCTCACAAATAATCCTAGTGCATCTCACTGAAGAACTTATCTGATTCAAAATGCTTCTTCTGCTATTCCATGAAAAAATGCCATTTAACTGCGAAGAGCAGAAGCGCATCTGCTAATAATTGTTTCTTCCGCAAGCCCTATCACACAAGTACTCACCAAGTCAGATGGCCCATCGGCGTCCTCAACGACGACCCAAAAAATAGGAACGTTGGCCAACATGAGCGCCTGTGACAGCTTGATCATGTCCGGGGCCTGGTTCGCGCGCCTGTACGTCGGTGTGACCACGTACACAGTTGGGCTTCCGCCGGAGGAAAGCACACTGGCTGGTACGGTGACTCCCGTCACGCACAAGGATGGTGAATTTGGTACCAAGGGCACTGCACACCACCGGATGCAGCAAATGGCATGGGACACCATGGAATTTAATTTTTTTTTCATTTTGACATACCAAGTTGGCAAAACAAGAGTGTCCTTATCCTGACATGTTTCTCTGTTCAAGAGGAACTTCACGCAGGTATAGCAAGTCAACCACATAGAAATATGCAATATTATATATACAAAAAATAATAAACAGAAAATACTGCAGCAATGGGAGAAATATGGCAGACTATGACAAGCTGTTTCTCACACGGACATACAAAATGCGTTGCGATCAAAACCATTTAACAGATAATCAATCCCATGCCAATCGAAATGCATTATTGGAAGCAATGAGTACGTAGTTAAATGAATTCAGCACACGTCAGATAGACCTGGGTTCAACTAATTACTTCCTATCTTGCTTATCGTATTAGTACTGATTTCCTAAATTTTGTAATTTTTGTAGTCTCTTCAGTGCATTCAACTATTCCAGGAATCTCATTCCACAGTACAACAATTTGGTTACAATCAACAGCACGAGGCATCGATATATGATAATGACTCTAAATTTAGTTTACTTCCCGAGAAAAACAAGAGCCACATAACGTTTTGCGCTTTTTTAACTGTCATGATGGACAGCAACAATTTTACGACCTCATTAGCTAAAATGTTGGAGTTAAATCATGAAAAGCGGAAAAGCTGGGGCTCACAAGCATGAACAGGAAACAATACTCCACATGATCCACTTTCTTTCCAGTCCGTTGCAGTATGTCAGTGACTAGGATGCTTGGCTGCTGTCGCGAAGGTCGTGCGGTCTATCTCGGACGCGCCGGTCGAATTTCAGTGGAGGTGAAATCGCGCAGGCCCGTGTAATGCACAATGTAAGTGCACGTTAAAGAAGACCAGATGGTCAAAATTGCCGGAGTCCTCCACTACAGAAATTCTCACTATCCTTTGGTGGTTTCGGAAACTCAAACTCCAGATATTATTATAGGTACAGGGCATGTGGGAAAAGACACTGAGAAAATTGTAATTATTTTAAATTTATTATAATATAAACACAATGGAGTGGTGCCACATGGCTTTTCTTCCTGCTTTATCAAATTATGCTAGACAATGCGTACAGAACAATGCGTACAGAAATAGAATATGCGTACAGAACAATATGAAATATAGAACAAATCTTAATGTAAGAACAAGAGTAATATTTGTTTAAAACAAAAGTCTGAATGATACACAAACCCAAACAAAGTTTCATAATACCACACAATTATCACTACACGAGCAGTACAGTAACAGCAACTACCACTTACTTACCATAACGGCTTGACATATACACATGCCACCAAGAGCTGAACAAAGTTTTTCGTCCGTTCCTTCATATACACATGCAGCAAAAAAATATAATGACACTAAGTTGTACAACTACGTAATGTTATGCTTACAGACAAAAGCTGCGGCACATGCCACCCACAATGCACAGTACAGAGTAATGCAGGTACTTACTGGTATATTTAATTACACATTCAATGCACGAAATACGCTTCGGATGTGCTTCCAAGTGAACAAAAGGACATGACTTGAAGGTGGCACTGAATAGTAAAGTTAGCTTAAATAACTATTAAAATGCAAAAACAAAGAACAGCCACACTTACAGTAGTACAAAAGACATCATACATTTCACACAAACCTTTCTATCAGTACTACCTAATGCTACCTGCAGCAACATGCATTCCAATGCTTCGGCTACCACACTGCTGTGAGCTTTGAATGTTTGTCATAAGGAGATGGTTTTTCTTTTTCACGAGAATTGAGATTCTAGTTCTTAAAAACGTGGCGAGGAGTTTGTCCGATATGCAATGGCATGTAGGGAAGCAATTGCCCAAGTACAGGGAACTTTGAATGGTACTCCGAAGTTTAGATGCAGAAACTTTGTTTGCAATCAATGCATCTTCATTTAAGCGGACATAATTTTCAGCAGCCTCTATTAACTGCAAGACAGCTGGTTATGGTACTGTCAATGCCGGCTTCTCTTTGTTGTAGCACTTCAGCATTGTGAGCTTGTTTCCCTCGGCTGAGCTTGTGATCGCTTCAACACAGGCTTGACAGGAGTTAGCCTTCTTGACTTGTGATACAACATAACCAGCAAGGTATTCCAAGCATTCATGTTCTCAGTCTTCAATATCAAGAAGGTCAGACGGACGAACAACATACATTTTGCTTTTGATTGCTTTGTTTTCATCGGCCATGCCAGTCAAGAGAAAGCAGTCTTCTTAAGTGTAGCTGCCGTCCTTACTTGGCCTCAGAAACTGGGCCATCGTAGCAGCTCGAAGCGAAAACTTGAATTCAAGTACACGAGGCACCGGGTTCTTACACCTTAGTGTAGAGAAAAGATTCTCTGGGGCATCATGACCGAACCTGCTCAGGAGCAGAAATTTAAAGTTGTACTTTTCAAGAAACAGTGCCTGCAGTAGCAACACTGATTTTGTCGCTAGGATAACGCCAGTCTGCACTGGTTTCCAGGTGGCTTTTTTTTTCATCTCCAATACTTATTTTTTTTTCAAAAAGTGCAATTGTTTCTTCAAGAAACTGAAGGGCCTTTCCATACTTAACATCATCAAAACGGCTCAAAGCCAGTTTTGTTGTTCTGGAAGTCATGAGTCTGAACCATCGAAACATCATCTCAAGAAACCATGCAGTTGTCAAGGCTGGTTTATCTAATGTTCCATTATCTACAAGCAAGCGTACTGCAGCAGATGTGTCGCTGTTGATAAGGCTGAATGCTGGCCCCACCTTCATTTTATCATAATGGCTGAGTCAACTGAAAAAGGCTTCAAGTGGGGAGCTAGCATTAGCTTTGTATTGCTGTCTATCTCGACAAGCTTCTTTATAGGCTCGATGGATATTTCATTCTCTGGCAAATTGTTTTTTTTTTTCACTACTTCTTCAGGCAAGTATATCTTCCGGCCTTTAGTTAAGTGGCTCCTCAGGTTCTTAAGGAGATGAGGAACGTCCGCAATGAAAAGAAGTTGCCTAGATGCATCACATGGGTGGGGACACGAGGTTTTAGGCTTGCTGTGCTTGCCTACAATTATACCGAACAGTTTCCAGACGGCTTGGTTCCCCCCTCCCATGTCTGTCACCACAACATCTACTTTCAGGTAAATTGCCGCACATGCTTTTATGATGACAATGATTATATCCTTAACTGTTTTTGCATGGAATGAATTTCCAGTCAAATGGTAAGCAACTGTTTGCTTCCAGCGGGTTGTTATCCCACCGAGCATAAATACCAGCCCATGAGTGGCCAAACAGTCGGGTGGCAACGCTCCGTCTGCAAGAGGTATAGTTGTGGCTCCAAGCACTGTTCCCTAGGATGGGTTGTACACTAAGCCTGGTGCAAATTGCATCTCATTGAGTATTAAAGTGGCGTGCCGCTCCCCTGGTGACATGAGGCTAACCTATGGAGTGGAAAGAATTAGTTAGGCGATGCAAACAACAGTATTATGGTAACAAGACAGGTCAGGGGTCATGGGCACCTGTCTGTGCACTTACCTTTAGTGCGAGAGACGCCATGATGTCCTCCAGCAAACCTGGTGTGAACTTGCACACTTCCAAGTGACGATGTAGAGTGCGTTCTGTTGGCAGAGGTTGTCCAAGCTCCCTGACTGAGTCATAGCCACGTGCTCTAAAAGAAAGTTTCATTTTCAATTCCTTTATAACAGTCTTCTTGGTCCATCGAGTCCCCTGCATTGTTGCCATCTTCAGACATTTAACTTGGTCTTCATTCAAGTATTTGTTTAATTCTGCGACAACGCGCTTATTTGCAGTTAGTGCCTGGAAACGCTGCCTCTGAGCAAGTTGAAGCTTCCGTCGCGTCACCTGAAGTTCAATTTCAAGCTGGGCCACCCTCTTCTGTAAAGCTGCTTGTATCAAGTGACCTGAAACAGTGCACCGAAATTAGGTCTAAAGCAGTTGTCAATGCTAAACAGGCAAGCGCGAGGGCTAGGTAGTGCTTCATATTGAAGATGTCACGCTGATAAAGAAAGCGCATGCACGGAACAGCCTGTTTGCTGTTCTCTGTATGTGTGTTCTTTATCAGTGCGATATCTTCCCTAGTTTTAAATAGCATTTTTAAGAATGCGTTGCTGACAGCATGAGAGCAGGGAAGCGCAACACAAAAACATCAGATAAGCGCAGGAATATCTAACATTCCCGCATGTTTCTTTTACCTTGTTCCCTTCATGCAGTTCATTTTTTCTCACTCTGCACGAGTTGCACACAAATCGGTACTGTTACGGGTATAATGTATTGCTATTTACGAAACGAAGGGCCTCGACCTCCTAGTATCATGGAAACTTGCATTGAAAGAAAGGTTGTGGTAGCTTCCGTAAGTATGTCGCTATGCGCAAAAGAGGCATTGAATGATGGCACACAAAAAATTCGAACAAAACTGTTTAACTCACGAGCCTGTGTACTTTCTGGCTGGAATGGAGCAGGGATCTGTATTCTAGTTGCATATCAGGAACATCTGCGTAGAGCACAACGCAAGTTAACAACCAGCAATGTAGAGAGGCATTGGTATCTCACAGGGGGAATACACATGCTTTGGGCCACACAAAATATCTGCCTGTTTGCTTGGATCAGCTGTAGACACAGCTTTATAAGACGTGAAGGTAAGTTTGAACCATATTTTGCAACATAAAAAAAGATTGTAAATTACAAAATATAAAATATCTCTGTGCTGACTGCATGGCATATATCGTCTGTGTGTCAACGGATGAAGAGCATAAGCACGCAATTTACCAGCTGATGGAACGTTAGGAGCTCACAGACGGGAGAAACTTACCATTCTCAGTGTCGACTGGCTGGGGTTCGACATCGACCAGTGTGTTTTGCTTGACTTTGGGGTCATCTGGGTAGGACACATGAACATAATGACAAATGATAACTCAAGGATTGTTTTCATTCCAATAATCAAATTTGACTTGAACGCTGTGAATAGCATTCAAGATCATTTGTCCTAATGAACACCATGAACATACCAGTACTTTCCACTCTTGTTCTTTTAGGGGGTGGCTTGCGTGGCTTTGCAACTGGTCGATGCAAAAAGATGCTTGGCGTCGCAAATGGCCTCAGCTTCTTTTCACCGGTATTTTGAGAATAATCAGCTCAAACTGGTCTTCTGTGAAATGATCCTGTAGCAGAGTTGGAAATGACTTTTTGAACATGTTGTAAAGCAAAGTTAACAACGCGCGCAGAGATAGAGAGCTAGAGATAGCAGAACTCACTGCTGAAATTTATGAATGTTTGTCGCTATAACAATAATAATATTTGCTGGAGTTTTACGTGCCAAAACCACAATGTGAGTAAGAGGCATGTCGTAGTGGACTGCTCCGGTAATTTCGTGACTACTTGGGATTCTATTACGTGCACTGAATACGTGCCTTACACGAGCCTCTAGCATTTCACCTCCATCGAAAATGCGACCACCGAGGACGGGATCGAAGCGTGTCTTTCCGGTCAGCAGCCGAGCACCGTAACTGCAGTAACTGTCATACCACGACGGCGGACAAATTTAGGTCGCGTGCAACACAGTGCGGATATCTGTCAGCGAGTTAGTGCGCTTCCCTCGCTTTAGTTACTTGCATGCTAGGCTCTAGTGCATGACCTACGTCAGCGGGTTCATAAAGCACTAAAATGAATAATCTCGACAAATGTGGGCCTTCAAAACCAGCGCGCACAGATGAAGTGCTATTGCAGCTCGGCACATGCACGCGTATGCTTTTTATTGCGCCTTTGTGTCGCGTTACTTACCTCGCATAGTCGTGCAGTCGCCGACGGTTCGAAGCCTTTCCGTCCAATTCTGTGCAACCACACTTTTCTTCTGGTAAGGTTCTGCTTGCCCAGCGGGATGCAAAACAACTTCTTGCCGATTTCCGTCCGGTTTCGGCACCCAAACGCACAGCAACACGGCATATCGGACCTTCCAGAACAAAATCACCGCACAACGTGCATAGCAGAACAGGCGAAGTGAGCGCTCTCCTCCCGGACCGCGGGAACCTTCATGGCGTAGCAAGGTCACGTGTCACAGACCAGCCTATCACGGGCGCCGTCGGCTTCATGAAAGCTTTTTGATACTTTTGAATTTGTTGGGGGACTTTAGCGTTACCACGCTAGGCGCCGGCCCTGCCAGACACTCGCAGCCGCGCGCCGCGCTGCATCGCTTTGAAGCATGCACGTTTCAGCGCGTCCATCGTCCCTCAGTCACGAAAAGAAGGAAGCGCAGTGTTGTCTGGGTAACTCATCGGCGCGAATTTCACGCCCGTTGCCACCGCGCTGCGCTCATGGACGCTGGTCACGCCGGTGGCACTGGTCACGCCCGGCGTCAAACTATATCGTGCTCGCATTTTGCTAACGTAGCATCGCAGTCCCAGCGTGCGCGTGCGTCAACGCTACGTTGAAGTATATCAAGCCCTTTTGATGCACTCGCAGCTGTTTTCCAAGCTCCACATATACCAAATGTGGTGGTACGTGACGTCAATGGAGAGCAAAAATATATCGCTGGTGCAAACATGATAATGCTGACACCCGTCTCATGTAAAAACATCACAACAAACCACGCTCATAGCGTGCTCATGGTCATTTCGCTAGCTCCAGATATACTAAATTTGGTATCTCGTTCCTGATCATTGGCATATGGCACGTTTAGTGCCGGTGTTTCAGAAAGGGGATTGTCTCAACGTAGCAAACTACGGGCCTATTTCCTTAACATGTACGTCGTGTAAATCACTGGGACGTGTGCTCACACAATAAGAGAATGGCTCGCTATCGCCATCTCAGCACGAATTAAAAAACAATTATCGATCACAACGCAACTATTGACCATTTATGAGTTCGCGCCGTCGCTTCATATGAGGAATCAAATTGATGCTATTTTTTTATATTTCAGTAAAGCATTTGATCTTGTCACGCACAGCAAACTCATTTCTAAATTGCAAAATCTAGGCCTATCTGTCAACATCATTGATCGATACGCACAATTGACGCCCGAAACGTACTCACAGCTAAAGATGAACGCGTATAAGCGTCTCAGATGTTACTTTGGGGTGTCTGAAAAGCGCGCTCTTTTCGCGAATGGAGGCTGTGCAACAATGCCAGTGACCTTTGTGCACCCGGTAACTACAATAGAATGGTTCCGGCGAAACCCAAGGGCTAGCCAAGACGTACAATCCTCTCCCCTACAAAATAAGGGCACGCGATTGAGCGTACCTTCTTATTCTCTATACCGGCCAAAGTAAGTGTGAGAGATGAAGCC